GGAGTAGCCATGCTTCTGGAGGAAAATGGAGCATGATTTATGCTTATCGCGATGAAAAAAACCTTTCTGATGCTGTGCCGATTATTTCCGTTATCTCGTCAAACTGGCTCAAGAGGTTGTCTCGAGTTTTCTCAAATTTTGTGTCATTGCGTCTTTTATTGTTTTTTCCTATTTCGTGTTCTGAAGTACCGAAAATTCCTACCTTTGCATGTCATGAATGTTGTTCCACTCGTAGGGCGCGGATATCAATCCAATCGTTCACAGTCGTGCTCTCTACGTTAGCGAGAAATACCGTGTGTTAGTGGGAAAGACAGCGAAAGCCCATACACTTAATGTCAAAATGATTACGAAAACTAGTTACGCGCACGCATAAACCGGCAGATGTACATTGCCCACGCCGGATATGGTAGAAAACGACATCCGATATGTTCGCGTGAAATTTAAAATGCTTTGTAATTTATGATTTTCAGAGCAATGAAGCGCTGAATGATCTTTAAAACACCCCTTTACTTTCATCTGCCCTGCTCTTCCCCAAATACATTCGCGTTTTTACAACAGTTGCACTCAGTTTTTTGCTGCGAGCCATGCCTCGGCGACAACTGCTTATGCAAGGTATAGCCATCTTGGTTTAAGTTACCATAAGGTTTACTTCCAATATGCAAAGCACAAACCGTAGGAACGTTAATTATCCTCTACATTTCTGGTCTTTAGTTTACAAGTTGGGCTTTATAATTGACATTGGTTGATGCATTTTTGTGTCCTTAGCTCGAAGGTTTACCACCTGAGCTCATCAAAACACATTTAATGAGATTCATAGGGGTTTTAGGAAACAAAGTTCCACTCCGGCCTCAAAGCTATCTGTAGGACTTACCAATGGGACAAACCCAAAGGGGAGGAAGAAGTCGTAGGGATCCCTCGAACGATCATTCCAGATTTACGGTTCGCGTACTTTATTGTTCTTCGTATTTTGTACTTTTATTTCTAGTGCTATTCTTGTCAGTTTTACGATAATCTTGGTTTTATTGATAGCTTTGTTGAGTGAGGTGCGAAAATGAGTTTAATTTCTAAACAGTCACTGCCGAAGTTCCAACAGAAACTTTTTCTAACCACAAAGGTGGTCGTTTAAGGATCAAATGCCAAAGAAGGATTGAGCGACATAATAGTACATAAACTTATTAATATGAATATATGACTGTTATAGTGAGATGTTTTAGCCCAATTTCTTTATTTCGGTCTCACCGCACGATATGGCTAGTCACTGATAAGCTAAGGCGCAGCGAAGGATATGGAGTGGCAACTTCGTAAGAATTTCTTACAGTGGAATAAGGTGGGTAATATCGTCGAGAATGTGGCCAGTGAAGTGTTAAACCGTTGTAAATCGTCGTCAAACTATGATAACACGTAAAACCAAATAAGATAATGCTGCAGCTTAGTGAAAAATGCGAACGATCCGTCTTGAAAATGAAACATCCTTTTCTGTTTATTTCATGTTGATCGCCAATGACTTTAAATTCATTTTAAGACCCCTATGTTTTAAGATAGTTTTACTCAGTTTCTGAGTAAACTATCACCATAAAACACTAGTTAAACCACCTAATTAGTACCGTTGTCAAGTTTCTTTGGGTACTGCGAAAGGTGAGACTTAAGTAATGATTGGATCAGGTTATTAAAACGTAGCCACCGCTTGAGCCTTAGATGAGATTGTCTTGTTACTGCATGAAAGGCAATGGGAATATATGAACTCTCCTCAGCCTTTCCACATTAGGTCAAAGATATGTAATTTTCTAAACCGTGTCGTTAGATGCTGCATTACCTTAGACTTTTCCCTGTCTTTGTCAACGCTGCCTCTAAGTCTGTATTCCAAAGAAAGGACGGAAGATGACGTGAATCTCATTAAGAGTTCTTCGTCAAAACAACGTCCTTTTGGTGGCGCGTAATTCACCCACATTTTTCTGAAAAACAGCCAATTGAAGAGAGGTATTCGATTCGTTGTGTATAAATACCAAGGTTTCTCTTCGCAGTCTTTTCGGATAGTAGAACATATTGCTCATACTACAACTTTATGCTGTGATTTGCCATCATAGTTTTAACGTATTTTTCCTGTCCTTAAAGACGTTTTCTGTTGTTTTCCATAAAAGTTCATTTTATTTGTTATCTACAATGATTATTCCGTGATTAACATTTTTCTGATGCTTCTAATCCTTTCGATGTTGCTTTCGAAATTCACTGCTTAGTCAACTTTCGTGATACTGTCAATCGTCTGAGATTGCTGAACAGCTTTAAAGAATTTACTATTGAGTTATTTTACAAGCATTGTGCTTAGAATTATGGTTGTCCCACTAGTGCGTTGTTTTCTATAACATTCGACACCCGAGAACACGCTTACTTGGCATATTATATTCGCTATTAATATCGGTTTCCATTTTGTCCATTTGGGGAAAACTCGCTGGTCTTGGTGGGATTTGAACCCACGAGGGCATCCAACGCTCTTACCATTTGAGTTACGAAGCTCCACGAATGTTATGATTTGAATCACATTTGGGTCAATTTGCCCACCCAACCCATTGCAATTCGTGGAATCTGGCAAATTTGACACAGTAAATTAATTGTCAAACCAGGATTTTCTAAGCAATCAGTGTCGAATCCACTACAGGTTCGTTTGACCTATTTGTGGTAACCTTGGCAACCTTGATGAAATTCGAACCCGCGACAATAAATCTATCAGAAACACCTATTAATTAAGTGACCCCGGCAGTAATCTGCCGGATTCTAAACTAATTGCCTCCCAAATCCCACTTTCACAGTTAACTTGTTGTATCAGAATTATCAGAATCCATATGCTGCAGTAGGCGGGGCGGGTAACTTTATCGAAGTGAGACTAAACATGCCATTTTCGGTGGGGCCTCGCAGCCCAGGTGATTAAAGTTTTTGCGGTACTTAGGCATACCCAAGCTGTTGTGAGTTCAAGTATCATGAAGGATGCCAAGTTTTGCACAAGTGAGTGAACGGAATTATTCAAATCTGCCAAAATACCTATAAATATCTGTGTTCTTGAACGGTTCTGACGTCCACGACTTCATAAGGCGTTTCATCTAACACGGTACATAAGTAACTAGTCGCACCGTGATAAACTACTTGCATGAATACCCACTCTGTGCATATTATTTTAATTCATGGCAATGCCCTTGAATGCATGCGGGAAACAATCCCTTTCTACTGCGTGCTAATGCATTTCCTTTATGTCGGCAACTGACTGTCGCGTATAACTTCTTTCTGGGCACTCACACAGCCAATTATCCCTGGGCTTCATGTGGCTGTCGCAGTTGCAGTATGTCCTATATGCCATCAAATACTGTGCCGCGAGCATTTTCAGACGTCGCGATAATCGATATTCCAGAAGGAATGCACATCCTTGATGATATACTTTGGCGTTATGAGACACGGCCGGATTTTGTTGGAGAAAATACCACCAAAATCCTAGTCTGATCCCTGCCCAGCCCACTTGAGATAGAAGGGGCAATAGATGGAGATTTTAGCAATCAGGTCACGCAAATTGCCGAAATTTATCAATTAACCCTGAAAATGGGGCTCACGCAAGATAGACGAACTGAGTCTTCAGCTCATCGCCATGCAAGTAATTTCAACTTTGTTCCGCAAGTTTCCTGTCCCGGCTAGTCGGATAAATCTCAGCAAGTAGTCTCTCTGCATGTCGAAAGCACGCATTACCTTACATAGCAGTAGGCCAAAACGAAAAGGTTAAATCCCTTCTGTGCTAACCATTTTACATCCGAAACTGACGTAACTCCTTCCCTTACAATGTCGTCCGACAAATTCCCCAACATAATCAATTTCTTTGTGTGATTATTCAGAAACAGATAATCCATCTTAATAACTCACAGTCAGTTGAAACTAACAGCATCCAGAACTTTCTTATTAAACAATTAAGGAATTTTCTTCCTCTGTTGGGCACTGGAAGGTAGACCCTCGTATTATGGCGGCCCTGTCTCGTGGGGTTCAGTCACACCCTCAAGTTTTACGAGGCCGAAATTCTCACAAGAGGAGATAACCACGTGAAGCGTAAGCTGCTTTAGTCACGGTTCTCCGGTCCCCAATCGAGCAACAAGCGCAATGACCTTCCGACCCCATAGTCTGCGCCGAAACTGTCTGGACAAGTCAATTAGCCATGCGTGAGGGCGCTAGCGACCGAAAATTCCAATGACGGCAAGCCTAACTGTCGAATAATCAGCCTGCCGACAATCCACAACGGTGACTGCATTTCAGAAATTAACAATTCGGATGCGGACTAACAAGCAATCTTCGCATTAAATACGAACCCTATTGGTGATGAGTAGGAGAGTTGTCAATCATATTAGACATGCGGTCGCTTGGCTATTGCGACCTATAAATACTGCAGTCTTTGTGCCTCCATTACTCTTATCTACGACTGTCTCTGACAATGGGTCCGATTGAGAACCTGAGGTGTCAGGTCAATAAAATCGTTTCAACAATCGCATCGTCTAAATGTACGATTAAGGGTTGACTAGGATATTTTCATTAAGACCTGTTCGCTCTTTCTGGATGGAACTACAGTAGATGTGCTAACTCATGAAATGTCAACCAAAATTTCGAAATGCGTTCTCGTTTCGAAAAGATAAATTAAGTAGTGTTGTAAAACTAATCATGATGCTGCATAAATCTATAATGATCCAGTTACCTCAGGGTGTCGGCTTTCGAAAGAACTTATTTTCGGCTGCATGCCAGATCTATACTCTGCAAAAATGACTACTTATGTAGTATGCAATTTTCTCATTGATTTTCGATGCCCTTGAAAATTCCCTTATATTTCATGGAATACATGCATAAAAATATTCATTATTTTACTTATTCGGTAGAAAATCACGTCTTCTTCCAAGTTCATACTAAAAAAAGTATACTTCATTGATAAAAAAATTTTCCAATTCCCGAATAATTTTGAAACCGACCTGCTGTTACACTTGCATTCAGGGTTTGAGGATATTACCTTCGTTGTAATCGCCTTCCTTGTGCACCTTGGGGAGACCATAGAATCGGGCCAAGGCCGTTTCTTGGGCTCTCGCTATGCGTCGGTCGGTCACTGTTATTGCACGCGAGTTCTCCAGTGCCAACAATGTCGCATTAATTTTGCGTGTCAGCGTCTTTACGGGGTTGGTTTCACATGGGGCAAAAAACTGGCGATCCTCCAGTAGGTATTTGGCCTTCTGAAGGTAGTCTGTTCTGTCAAGTACGACGGTGGAACGCCCCTTGTCCGCTGGCACGATGACGATGTCCTTGTCGGCCTTGAGTTCTCTTAGTGCATCGCGTTCGACCTTCGGGAGTATTTCGCGCGGCCTGTGAGTCGTAAGGAGGGACGACACTTGGTGTCGGATAAGGTTCTTCGTCTCCTCCGCCGCTTCCGTCTGATTAATGACCGATTCCACTGCTGCAATCATGTTGACAGGTTTGGCGTCAGCTGTGTTGAATGAGGCTTCGTGCCGCAAAACCTGTGCTTGTTCCTTCGTCAGTTCCTTTGAGGACAGGTTCTGTACCCGTGTGCTTCCTCTGGCGAGCGATCCCGTACATCAAGAACGTCTCCGAGGCCGTTAGCCGCCTTCTTGCACCTCTTGGGGTTGGAGTTGCACATAGATCGGAGGCCACCATGAGGCGTCAGGTGATGAGACCAAAAGACTCACTGCCACGGCATGAAACATC